TGACGAAGCGGATATCGTCCTCTTTTGGAAGGCCAAACAAAGTAGTTTCGCTTTCACAACGAGAAACACAGCACCTTCACGACATAAAAGTTACGCCTTCTTTGCGTGAACATTTGGGCGGCGTTATGCAAATCTTCCCACATCGTGACGTAGACATGTGGGGGTGTGTTAGAACGAGCCGTTTTAGGTAGGCGTGGTTGACTCTTAACTTTTATAAAGAATATCTTTTTGGATTTGAGACTTTAGTCTTTGCAACTTTACAGATCTTCTTTATGCACCAAGAGCTTGTAACTTCAAAGAGAAAGGAACATTTTTAAATCGCATCATATGACCCCTTTAATCAATGCATCTTTGGTGACCATTAGAGACTTTTTTTCAGAAGCATAAAATATCTTACCAACCCAAAACGTTTCAAGTAGTGTATATGCACATTACAATCAGACTTGCTTTTTTGGCAGCTGTAATGCCTGATAACTGGGTTAAATTTGACCCGGGTTTCTTAAATATTGTATTTGTATTTTATGAATTTGTATTTTTTATATATCTATAACATGTTTCCATAGTTTTGTAGTTCATAATGTTGTCCCTTATCAGTCATCAAAAACTAAAAGGATTCATGCTGATAATGTCCAAAAACCTTACTTAGGCATTATAGATTAATTTAGTAGAGTTTTAGTTTGATTTTAATTAAGTTGTGCATTAACCTTTACAATTAAACTATGTATTATGACGCTGCTGTGTTGCACACACATCTACAGTCCCAACCACATCTTAGAGATAATCTGGTCCTTTGTAACTACCTGGTTAAATCATCTGCCTTTTTTTCCCTTTACTGGTCTCGGCCTCCCTCCAGCCTTCCCCACCATGGTGGACAACCACGTCGGACACAACTCCAGCATGGCCTACATGGGAGGCATGGAGCCTAAACCAGTGTACCCGCCACCCCAGGTCACCCCCTCGAGGTACTCCCCAGACCCACGCCACATGCTGGGGGAGGAGGACTTCACCAGGTCAGAGTCATGGATTTACTCATCTATTCACTCACAATCACTCACTTCTTCTCTCCAGGGTTCCCACGACCATGGAAAACCTGGAAATATCAAGGAATTATAACATTTCCAGGCCTGGAAAGTCCTGCAAAAGGAAATGTTCACAGCTAATATACTTCAGCTCTAAAATATTTAATGAGTGACAAATTGTGACCAAGTCAATTGTAAACCAAATTCTCATGGAAACCGACTAGAAATGTATTGGTCAAAAAATGTGGGAACCCTGTCACTCACTCAAAGGTCACTTTTCAAATGCACTCATGCACAAATCACAAAAAACAACACTTGCATGTCCATATATATTTGATTTGAAAAGAACATTGTTTTCCCACAATCTGTGCTACAGTTCTTCAGCTTTAGTTGTTTTTGGCGATACTGTTCACATTTTCTGATGTAACTGGGCAAAGACAGAACAAATAAAAATGATTTTAAGTAGGTGTCGAGTGTGGGCTGAAGAACGTCTACGAGGTGTGTAATGCCTCTCTGTGGTGGTGTGTTTGTGAACATTGCTTTAACGAAACATGACTGGGTGTATAAAGTCTCCAACACGAATCCCAACACGGCAAACAAACACTCTGGATATAAGAGATGCTTCTGGCATGGGGTCAAATGTTTTGAAGTCACGGCCACTGTTGCCTGGACGTGAGATGGGTTTCACCTCTCCGAGCAGGGACTCCCTGGAGCCTGTGAGTCAGCCCGGGCCCCAGAGCTGACTCGTCCCTCTCTTGCCATCCAGCTGAATGCATCCTCACTTCTGCATGTGTGTGTTTGTCTCCGTCTGTGTGCATGTGTGTCCCGTACGTGTCTTCATACAGTATGTCTCTGTGTCTGCTGTCTCTGTGTGTCTGAAAGCGCCCCATTTACTGTGTGATTTCTGTACCCCCAATAGGGCCGAGCCCATTTACAGTGCCATCCACAAACCGCATGGGGACACCAGCCCTCCCTCCCCCCATCTGTGCAGCAGGGGGTCTGGGGATGTGGGCTGCAGCCCCGCCCCGCCTGCTCTGTGTCAAAGCCTGGTCCCGTACACCGGCAGGTACTAACCACTGCTTCTCGCTCTGCCTGGCTTAGCTTAGCATAGTCTAGTTAACCTGACAGTTACCCCCCCGCCCCGCACAGCCACCCTCCTTCCCCCAACCTGCAGTGTGACACAGGTAAGGCCTTGAGGCGAAACTGCTCCCTGCCTCGAGCCGCGTACTCCTTTACATTGTAGAGGAGATGAAGCACGTTGTTAGCTTGTGGTATTAAAATCATAGTGTAAATATGCTTTAGATTGGGGCAAATGAGGTCTGGTTTCATGCTGTGTCACGCGAACCGCGGCAGCGCTCAGTCTGACTTTGGCTCCGGTCCAGAGACGCGATCGCACGGAGCGGATCATATGCGCGAGTCGGCATATATTAAACACTTTTAAAACTACGCAGCCTCAGCATATTTATGATCACTATTTTATTTTACTAAGAGTTTCATATTGAATCTAGGGGGGTAATCTATTAGACTGTGGCTGTCAAATGCGGCTTTACCGAGCTCAACGGCTCTGAGTGACCCGTGCAGATATAAACAAAACGCTATTGGCTAATTTAAAAAAGGGGCGGGGCTGCTCGATTTGTCCCGCCATGTCTTCCTGTTTCAGGTGAAATTACGTCACCACATAGAATAACGCTGCATGTTATTTTAATGCGATTTTCGCATACGATTTGTCTGTTCAGACCAATGTGTACAGGAAGGAGATGGGTTAAATGCAAATGTAGATTTACTTTCTAACAGTAGGTGGCACCTAGTTAGCCTTATGCCGAGTTCACACTGCACGATTTTAGCCCGATTTTTCACTCGCCGACAGGTTTTGCGAAATCGCCGACAAATGCCCGACATCTGAGGCAAATCGGTGCTCGTTCACGCGAGTGACAATCACACAGTGTGAATGATCAAAGACGCGATCTGAGGGAATCACCGACGCGTCGGTGACGCCCGCGAAATATTTGGCATGCTAAATATCTGGAGCTGTCGGCGATTCTTCCTATTGTGAAGTCATGCAGTGTGAAACCCCCTGTCGCCGATCCATCGTGCAATGTGAACACAGCAGCAACTGAATGCTACCCCAGATAGTCACGCAGTGTGAAAACAACGGCGATCCGACGAGTTTGAAAATCGTGCAGTGTGAACTCGGCATTAGTTATTCTGTGACACAATGCGCTATGTAACTGTATATGGATTCATCTATTCACTCACGGTCAATCACTTCTTCAGTCCTGGAAAAAAACTGGAAGTATCAGGGGATTTTTTAAACATTTCTGTACCTGTAAAAATCATACAAGGAAATTTCTACAACAAATATAATCTTTTTTAATACTTTGGCTCTAAAATACCAGCTAGAAATTATGAGTACAATCTATAAAATAATCAACATTTCCTGGAATACAACTGAAAAATAATCATGGAAATCGATTCAAAAAGTGAAAGTGGGAACCCTGTCACTAACTCAGATGTCACTTTTCAAATGCACTCGTGTACAAATGATAGAAAAATCCTATTGGATGGCCAGTTTTATTCACTGTGAGATGAAATGCAAATAAAATCAGTCGCATTGATGCCATGCAAATGTTTGTGGCTGTCTGAACAGACACATTAACATTCATTCAATTTAAAATGTTTATCGCACCAAATTTTCATACCGGATATTTGTCTTGGTGTAAACAGACCTTTAGGCACCTTTAGAGTCAAAAGAGTCACAAATGAATGAGGGCTTTCAACTTTTTACCCCGGTCTAGTCGTGTCTGTCGCATTCTCAGTGTGCAAATTAAACAGGTGGCTACTTTTGGTACACAGACGGTTCAGGTTTAAAGACATAGTTTCAAGAGATAGTATTCAAAAATGAAATTTCTGTCATCATTTCCTCACCCTCATGTCCTTTCAAACCTGTATGACTTGTCACTATGAAGATATTTTTAAAAAAAAAGACCTATACAGTGAAAGTCTTTCAAAATATATATTTTTTGTGTGTTCCACAGATGAAAGTCATACGTGAGTAAATGATGGCAGAATTGTCCTTTTCTTTTTTTTAGCTTTTTTAGACTGTCTCTTTAATCTTGCCCAACCTAAAGTAAATAGTCTTTTGCTGCTCCTACCATAGCATCTTAAAGACATTTTATTCAGAAGAGTAAAGGTTTTTATGATGAGTTTGTGACATGTAAATCTACAATAAAGTGATAAATATTGCCACTAATTAAGCATGAGGTATCATTCCATAATGATCCCAAAGCAAAGCACTCAAGTAGCCCACTATTGTTTTCTCTTTAGGGAAAATGCAACTATTTAACGCATACATACACATTTTTTTTAGGTTATTGAAACTGAAAATGCTATTAAAATATACTTAAGAAGCCTGCAGCCTTTTGTTTTGACTTTATTTGACAAATCAATAGCGTGTTCAACACCCCCAAACTCCCCCTAATTCGTACCCTGCCCAGTTTGTACATATGTATAATCCCAGATAATATGTGAGTCTAAGCCATCCTCCTTTACCAGCCCATATAATGTCCTGGTGTTTTGTGTGTGCTCTCTGAAGCAGTCTTAGTCTGAGTGATGTACTGTGACTGGCTGTCTGGGATGGGTCATCCACTTTACATACCACTATTCAATTAAATTCAATTCAAGTTTATTTGTATAGCGCTTTTCACGATACCAATCATTGCAAAGCAGCTTTACAGAAAATATTAAGTTTTTACATTACATTTAGGAGTAGGTTATTGATTGAGAGCGTGATGGTTTGTAGCGTGATAGAAGACTAGTTAGGTATGCAGGAGCTAGACCGTTAAGGGCCTTATAAGTAAGTAGTAATATTAACCTAATATTAACCTTCAGCACATAACTCGTTGTGTGTGCTCTCTGAAGCAGTCTTAGTCTGAGTGATGTACTGTGACTGGCTGTCTGGGATGGGTCATCCACTTTACATACCACTATTCAATTAAATTCAATTCAAGTTTATTTGTATAGCGCTTTTCACGATACCAATCATTGCAAAGCAGCTTTACAGAAAATATTAAGTTTTTACATTACATTTAGGAGTAGGTTATTGATTGGGAGCGTGATGGTTTGTAGCGTGATAGAAGACTAGTTAGGTATGCAGGAGCTAGACTGTTTAAGGGCCTTATAAGTAAGTAGTAATATTAACCTAATATTAACCTTCAGCACATAACTCGTCAGCAGCTCACTTGTCGATACCACCGATCATGCAGTTTATTGAAAAGTATGCACTATTAACAGATAAACCTACAATTTAGGTCTGGTAGAATCCATGTGCTTACACTGAAATACTAGAGCCATATAGAGACCATCACAGACACTATGCTTTTTTTTGATCCAGAGATCACTAGCAGCACCCATACAAGTGCATAGAAATGTGCTAAAAAAAAACTAGAACAACATTCAACACAATATGAAGGATGCTTGTTTATATGCAGAGCTATTTTTCCACAAGGATGTGTGTGTGTGTGATCATGAATGTATTTAACAATTCTGTCCTCCTGCACGTGTATGTTTGTATGCTCATCATCAGCGTGTATAGTTGCATTACCATAGGTGTGACTGAAGCAGTCACAAAAGATTCATTATTCTCCCAACACATAAATACACACTCATGGAACCAACACAGGAATGTTTGGCTTCTGTTGCAGTTATGTAAATATAAACAGTAGGGCCTGCTCTTACCATAAATGTATTGGGAAGTGAGAGGCTGATTCTTGCAGTCAGACTACAAATGAATAGTGGCGCACATTCCTGAAGCTATCATGATTCATTTGAATGGGGGAAAGCAGGCCACAAACACACATACACACACACACATACACACACAAGGTGCTCTGCCAATGCCCATCACACAAACAGATACACTTAGACAGTCTGTCATAATGTGCTGACATGAACACACATTCCCTTTGACATGCAGCCCAAACATACACACACACACACACACACACATACATCCAGTACAATATTTAAACCTACTCAGGACTACGCCTACCAAAGTACATAAATAGTGTTCTATTATCCCACTTTGCTCTTCACTGTCCCAAAGTAAGCTGTCAAAGTAAGTCTGAACCTTATCACAATCACCCTGGAGGTCTCCCTAGAGGCTAATAAAAGTTGTTTACAGGCATATACACTTTGTGTTGGTGTACAGTGTCAGTTCACTCCTGGAGGACTCTGCCAGTGTGTGTGTGTGTGTACATGACTGAGTCACAGGAGAGACTCAGATAGGCCCTCTGCCCATCTGTGCTTCCCCCACACTAGCATGGTGGTCACGGACACATTTAGATCCCTCCATCTGACCCAGTACACACTAACGGCCTCTTGGCTTCTCTACCAGCTGAATACATTATGGAGATTCGGGGGAGATCTCCCACCCACCATTCGGATTTCAGAACACAATCGGCCATGCCGCCAGTCGAACAGGCTAATGACAATCTGCTCGCACACTCATGTTCACAAATGACGGACACGCATTTAGAGACGCTCACAAAGCCAGACATAGAGATGTCTATAAACACACCATCTCAAATTTCAAATAGTTCAGGCCATTTCTGACCATGTTTTATTATGGTTTTCAGAAATGGCTTCCTTGTATGACGCATGGAGTTTGTTTTTCCATTCAGTGCATTACATCACTTGGTGAGACTTGATGTATTTCATGACTAAAGAGTGCCACATGCACAACAGGGTGAATATGAAGCCGGATAAATACAGGTTGGGAATTTTGGGAAAGAAAAAAAAAATTGTTTGCACAGAAAGTGCTGAAGGGTAGAGGTACACCAACCATTTGCATGGTCTTTATTTGGGAGGGGGGATTAGTAACCTTTATTATTAGTCACCTACTGCTTGGTTAGTCAAATTTGAAAAGCTGTGCATTGCAGTTTATCTGGTTATGTTTGATGTTGCAAACTATAATAGATATACAGTATAAATTAAATAACTCAATACATAAAAGTCATTAAATAAAATTATTTGTATATTTAAATATGTAAATAATAAGTATTCAAGAAT